GTTGCGTCGGGACGGCTCTTCGCGACTTGCTGACTCCTGGACTTGACTTTGCGCGACGGATTGTAAACGGGCTCGTGTTTTGCTCAATAAAACATAATAACAATAGAGAAAACATTTCCACAGACTCGGAGATTCTGAAATCTCCTGGAACAGAGTTCCAGAGTCTGAAGGCTGCACGGGAAATAGCTTATCCGCAATTCTCTTGCCCATTGCATAGTTAAGACAACCTACAGTTATCACTGTTCTTATCTTATGCACGTGTACTCATCCTTCGCATCCATTCCATTGAATACTTAAGACACTCATAGCTATTCTTGGTTCTTTCGGTAAAGTCACGTAGAAGGGAAATAAAAAAAATAGCAAAAATATAAAACAATAAAAATTCTCACGACGTTTCGACTGCAACACAAGCAATCATCATCAGGTGTGAAATCCACAGCTGATGTCGAAACGTCGTGAGAATTAATTTTGGTTTTAGATTTATTTTAATTTTATTATTTCCCTTCTACGTGACTTTACTGAAAGAACCAAGCATATGAATCCCTGCAGTCACGAAAGCTTTAAATCAAAATTTACACTCATAGCTATTAATTGCACTTCACAGAGACTCGTATCTGACATTCATTTTCGTGGGCTACCTATGGCTACCATGATAATTCGTATTTAGTCACTCCAAGCTACAAATCTCATTGATGTTTAGTCACCCTCATTCATAGTCACCCTTTGCTAATATTCTCCTTCATACACATCCACAGCAACCATTGTTATTCCTACACCGTCTCCCATGCATTGCTGTGGATTTTGCTAATTAGGCTATAGGGCCGCCTACATTAACAGCTGGGGGTTTATTTTTAGATATAATCAATGGGACACAATTACATTTGAAAAGGCAATGACATCAGCTGCAAATTGAGTTTTCACGGCCATAACAAACCCATCTGAAAATCATAATGATTCAGAGGGAGCAGCTCAAATTTAAATCATGTACGAGGAGAATAACAGTTTGCTTGAACTGGCAAGAGTAGGGTTGCCATCGGACACTCGATTACCCGTGGGCAGATTATTCAAGTTGCAGAATAGCAATGCTCGCCAAATCACCCACGGCACATGTGTTCAGACAGTCGGCCGGTCCCACAATGAACTGCTCATCACTCGTGGAAGGGTCAGTGACGTGTGCCCCAAGTGACTGCAGCCATCTCGGCACGTGGGGGCGATTGTTTCACGTCAACGACAACGTGCTCTGTTCTAGGTAGGTAAGCAAGAGACGCGTTGTTGCAACGGACACGACGCACCACTTTGCATTTGCGAGAGATAATTGAGAGTTAGCTGTTCTGTACTCCTACGCAGCTCGTTAATCTTGAATCGCTGCACTTTTATGACAAATGCATGAGCCACTTTGTAAAACGCACTTTTAAAGTCAAAGTTCTATACAAATAAAAACGGTTAATTGAAAATAAAGGTGTAATGCTTTCTACTCCTAATTATTGGAGATATTAATGTCCTAATAATTCTGTAGGAATTACATTAACCCAAGTAGAATATTTTATTGTTTCAAAACAAGTGTTTTAAGAATAATCGGGCTGCACGGTGTGTTGTGTTTATGGAACGTGACTCACAATTGGAGGTTTGACAGTTGAAATTTCAATTGGGCAAAAATTCAGCCCGTCACCCCACCACAGGCAGTAATACAATCTTTACCACTTTGTGAGAAGAGGTCACCAGCGGTTGTCTCATGGAAGACCGGCCTCTGCCACGATAATTTGGAATCTCCACCACTGACTCAGAGTTGCCAATGGGCAAGGGTGCTGGCCCATGAGTCAATTGAGCAGAGAATTTGTGCATTTGATACTTCCCTCCTATATTAAAGGGATGTGTAGTACTCGTTATTTTGGTCCTCACAGTGATTAGTACCCATGGGGCATCACACAATTATGAAATAAAGAGAACAGCAAGAGCAGGTTTCAGTGCTTTTGTAAAATTAAATTTGATGATGCAAAACAACTTACCAACCAGTATCAATGCAGTTCATGTTACCTGCCATGACATATGGATGAAAAATATGTGAAATTCGATAAAGAATGTAGAAGTAAAGCTGAAAAGACGCATGGAGATATGCATGTTGGCATTTACACTGATAGAGATAGGTGGGTACACGTGGCTCGGAAAACAAATTAAAATTAAGATATTGTGTTGCGCCCTAAACGTCGTGATTTATTTTTATTTTATTTTCTACCTACGTGACTTTACCGAAAGAACCAAAGAGTATGGATTCCTGCAGTCACGAAAGCTTCAAATCAAGATTCAAATTAAGATCACGGCTGTTCAGGAAAACTCGTGGACTTGGGCGAGATGTATTGTTGGTAGCAGGTGGAAAAGACTGGTTATGGAATGACAGCCTAAAGAGGGAACGCAGCCGAGAGAGAGAGGGATGGCGACCATGGAATTGACTGACGAGAGGCAGCTCAGTAGCAAGATGGAGTTTGGTATCGCTAGACCGTGCGGGATGCCGATGGCGCAGGGAGGCCTTAATCTAGCAGTGGATAAAACATTACTATTGACTACAGTCAGGGTGTCAAGGCTCCCTTTAGTGGAGGCCCTTGCACTAGCAGTGGCATGAGCAGAAAAATACAGGGCCACACTTTTATTTTTAGCTAAGAATATTTACTGATATTTGTTGTATATTTTTTGAAGATGTACCAGGTAAGGGCCACTGAGCTATACAGCTCTTTTTGAGAAGGGGCTTGGCCACAAATCGATAACGATGTGGCTTATCACGTGGAAATATATAGCAGCCAAATACTACTAAATGTGGAGGGGAAAACCGGAGGACCCAGAGAAAATCCACGTCACCACAAGGAGACCATGACATGCAAACTCCAAATATACAGGCGTCAGGGTCGGAATTAAACCGACTACCTGCTGTACACAAGGCGAGGAAGTTAATATCTTGCCAGAGCAAATGAAGCAAATGATAAAAGTTGGCAATGGAAACGAATGAAGTGTGCATAGTAGGAGCTGCGTTTTTTGGAATGTTTTGTTCACACCTGATGGCACAGTGAGTGAATGCAGATCGCAATTTAAATACCCGTCTCTGTAAAGTCCCATCGTGCTCGGTGTGCTTACCGGCAAATCCCCTCTGGTGCCAAAAGTAAATTGCCATTTCTATTGAGGCTGCATTTTGTTTTTGTATTCATCATGAACAATCTCAATGTGACGACGGGCACATTCATTTGGTGCACCATAAATATTCATTAAAATTTTAAGACAATTTTTTAAAAAATCAAATTGCATTTTGGAGGAACGATGACATGATAATCAACCCGCTCGTTTGAACTGAAAATAAATATATTAACGTGGCATATACTTGGAATATTAATGTGTACACCATAATGCAAGAGCTCAAGACAATGTAGCGATATGTTAGTTGGACACTGGCCATACCTTCAGGAATGGGGAACGTAAGCACAATGTTGAGCCCACTATGCTATGAACACATCGACTCAAGTTGAATTCCCACTCGCAGGCAACATGAGTGACGAATATCTGAACAGCAAGGCACAAGAGATACCACTGTGCAAACCTGCCGCCCGGGGGGGGGGGAAGATTGGCTGAAGCAAACCCATACCGCAAAATGAAATCATAATCTTCTGATCGTGATTCCAATCCCCTATGCATTGCGCAATCCCTCATCATGAGCAATATCAATAATGGGGAAATAAGGAAAAAACGTGGCTGTGCAATAAAACAACATTCTTTGTATAAAATAATAATACATCGCCGTACAATTTAACTCTTTACCAACTTGATGTATCATTCCTGAAAGAGACAAGTCAGTGTGAAAGGGACACTTTGACCTGAATGTTGACTTTGTATGCATGCCTCACAGAGAGATGTGTGTGCCTGTATGCGTGTGCATGCACTGGGGATGCAAAAATCGGGAACACATCCCGAGCACGTGTGCATGTGTGTGTGTGCATGTGTGTGTGCATGTGCGAGTGCATGTGCGAGTGCATGTGCGAGTGCGTGTGCATGGGCAAAGTCCCATCGGTGAGCTCCTCCGGCAGGCAAGGCTGCGTTGGCTGGGTCATGTAGCCCGCATGCCCAGCCACCGCATGCCGAGACAGCTTTTGTTCGGCCGGATCGAGGGGGCTAAACGGGCGCGGCACGGGCTAGAGAAGAGATGGAGTGATGTGGTACAGGAGGACGTGGAGCTGAGTAGACTTGCCGATGACTGGTATCAGCGGTGCCAAGATCGGCATCTGTGGAGGAGGCTCGTGAAGGACGCTACTGGGCAGTTGGAGGCAGTCGCCCTCCAGCAACAACGGAGGGCGGAGGAGCGACGCTCACAACAACGAGCGGAGCGCCGGGTGGCTAAAGCACAGCAAGTTGGCACAGTAGGGGGCACAGGTGGTGCATCAGCTAGTCATCTCGGTCATCTCAGTCAGTCGACCCGTGGCACCTGGGTCTGCCCCGTGACCTCCTGCCAGCGGGCGTTCGACACTTCACGTGGCCTCAAGGTGCACATGGCCTGGCACAAGCGTCGTGGTGATGTCACCGCCACTTAGTGGCGAATGGCGGTTGTTGTTCTGCATGTGTGTGTGCATGTGTGTGTGCATGTGCGTGTGCATGTAGGGAGCGGTAGTGTAGCGGTCAATGTGCTGTGCTATATGAATCTGGCGACCCAGGTTCGATTTCCGCTCACGGCCAACACCATTGTGACGATTATCTGAACCGGTCCTGGGCCTCCCCTAGGTGCGGTGTGTAAACATCGTCAATGGGGAGACAAAGGCAGCCGAGCGTGGTGCTGGCCACCCACCCCCTCGTGTGCCGTTCCGGCCTTCATAGGTGCTCGCTAACAGGACTTGCCCCTACAGTCTGTTAAGGCTACACGGGGGATCTTTGTTTTATGTGCGTGTACGCGTATGCCCGCGTGTGCCCGCGTGTTCGTGCGTACGCATGTGCGCGCACACGTGTTCGTGCAGGCTCGCGTTTCTCCCTACCGAGGCCCTTGGGCTGGATGCCACTGCGGTCGGTGGGGTTGACCACCCAGTAGTAGTACTTGAGGGTGTGCATGAGCTGCAGCACGGTGCTCACTCGGCGGATGGTGCTGTAGATGGTGGCCGTGCCGATGAACTCCGTTGACAGGTACGTGTACAGGGACAGCTGCACCTGTGTGAAGCGAAACAGAGCAACTTCACTGTGTCGCCCTGCTGCGTAGAGACGAGCCACAGGGAAGAGACGAAGGGCAGGACCGTGCGTGTCTCTATGCTACCTGCATTTTTGGAGTTTAGCGGAGCTCTACATCACTCGGAGTCGATTCGATTCACCCCGCGCTGTATTTACGTATACAGGGTGCTTAAAAAAAACCGTTAACACTTATATGGGACTATTGTTTTTAATGAAAAAGAACGGATAATACACTGTAACATGATAACAAATGTATGTTAATAGCTTCAAAAAGTCAGAGTCTCCACTTGTTCGCCATCATTGTCAACGCGTGCCTGGAATCTTCTCCAGGTGGTCTCCAGAGCCCGGACGCACATTTCTTGTGGTGTTGTTGCAAATTCTCTGAAGTATTCACATTTGTTTTGAAGTACCCTGTATATGCGTATATACATTTATCTGTATTTGAAGAGGCTCTGCAAACAAAGGGCATACTGTTAAAATCGCAAAAGTCCTGCCCCTACCCCCTCCCCCATTAACTACCAAATGCATCTGAATACAATTGACCTTTAAACACGTGTTAATTTGTACATTCTATGGTGTGAAAAGGAAGGGGTCACTGCATAAATAAATAAACACTCGCATTAATCACGGAGCCAGTCGCTCTTATGGAAAAGTAGAAGGTGGCTGGCATGAGATGGTGCATAAGACCAGCCACTTAATTATTATTTTGGCTTCCCTTGCTAGCTCGTTAACATCCATCGTGTCGCACGCACACAACATCAATCTTCGTGGAAGTGTCGAAGGATAAAGGAGAAAAATAAGGTAAGTGCCAAAATAGCAGGAGGTATCTCCTGCGCAAGACTATACCAATACCTGAGCAAAAGATTAAGAGTAAAAACTATAAATAATGAAAACTAATTCATACGGAAACATTTTTTAAGTTTAAAAGTTGTAAAATGAAAAATGCAACAATTAAAATTTGATAATTGTTGCCTGCATTATTAGGGTCCTGTTATACAGACATGTGGACATTTTAACCTCATTCTAAATATTTCACATCTTCTCACTTTAATATATTTTACAGCAGTACTATTGTTTTCCGTAAAAAAACATCTTAGGAGAATATTATTTGGGTCTTTCGGTAAAGTCACATAGCTAGAAAAAATAACAATAAAATAAAAAAAATAAAAATAAAGTGAATACAAAATAATAAAGATATCACGATGTTTCGATAGCAACACAAGCAATCGTCATCAGGAGAAAAAAGAGGGGGAAAGCTGCTGAGGAAGGCTGTTTTAAAGGTTTGAAATGGGTGTAGCCCAAGGGTCATAAACGCAGTGGGTGGGGCTAATGATGTCAAAGTGAGAAATTTGCATGTCAATGTAAGATCGGAGAGCTACCTCCACTATGAGGGCGTGGAGGTGGCCATTGTATTGTGAGAGATTAGCATATCAATGTAAGATCGCAGAGCCACCGACACATCGAGGACACGAGCGACGGCGGCTGTGTTAGTGCGAGACATTTAACCTGTTAATGTAAAATCAAAGATTAGCACGTCAATGTGTCGGCGGTTCCGCCATCTTACATTGACATGCTAATCTCTCACAATACAATGGCCACCTCCACGCCCTTGTCGTGGAGGTAGCTCTCCGATCTTACATTGACATGCAAATTTCTCACTTTCACATCACTAGCCCCGCCCACTTCATTTATGACCCTTGGGCTACACCCATTTCAAACCTTTAAAACCGCCTGCCTCAGCAGCTTTCCCACTCGTTTTTCTCCTGATGACGATTGCTTGTGTTGCGATCGAAACGTCGTGATATTTGTATTCTTTTTTATTTACTTTATTTCCATTTAGAAAAAACAAAACAAAAAACTTCTATTTACGTGACTTTACTAAAAGACCCAAATAATATTAATTCCTGCAGTGATGAAATCTCAAGTCAAGATGTTAGAAGTGATGAAATCTGAAGTCAAGATGTTAGAAGAACTAAGACTGGTATTCAGGAGGTCATGGATTCAATCCCGACCCCAAAGCCTATGTATTGCATGTCCTCCCCGTGGTCGCGTGGAGTTTCCTCCAGGTCTTCTCTTTTTTCCCTCAACATTTAGAAACGTGAGTGTAGATCATTTGGCTGCTATAAATTTCCACATGATAAGCCACTTTGTTGACACATTTGTGGCCAGGTAGCTTCTGAAAAAGAGCTAATGGGCTCAGTGCGCTTTATCTGGTAAATAAAATAGTTACATAGTTTTAATTGCAAAGAACACACAACTCAAAATCAAAAGATTGCACATGATTGTATGAATATGCACATCCTAGCCAAACCAATGTGGAATTTCCACATCACAAGTGCTGAACACTGCCTCATCGGTCATTTGAGCACGGAAACACGCTGACATTTCGACATGAAGTACACGCGACAGTACAGAAGCTCTGTGTTCATTTTCTTTCATTGACATAACCATTGTCATTGGGATTACATCCCATAGAAGTAATACCCACCGTGGTCATCATCAATTATCAATAACACCACCGATACCACTTTACTTTTGCATAATCACTCTCGACTACATAGCCAACAATAACAACAGCCACCATCTGCATAACAATCATAACTATTACCGGCAATGCAAATTTGCAATGCAAATTATTCATTTTGTTCTTAAATGTCTTTAATTAATTGGCTCAAGTATGTTATTTGGAGGATTGTTTGATCTCAACAGTGTAAGAGTTTATTTAGTAGCTGAGACTGTTGAGTGGAATTCGGTCATACTCCAACTTAATGACCTGTCGTCATGATATTACCCAAGGCATTATAATTCTTATCACAATTAATGCTGTAATTATTATCATCATTAGACATTACATTTAAAGCCATTTCCAACAACAATCATTCAATTATTACTCTAAGGAAGCTAACGTCAGGAATGAGTCCCAAATCTCCTTTCCTCTATCATAATCTGCCTACACTTTAACAGAGGGGACATCAGGTCAATTCCCAACCTGCATTATGAATGAATTATTTCACCACAACGTCCCAACACCACCCAGCAGGAACTATCGAGAGTCCGGGACAGCTGCTGGAATATTAATTTTAATCCCAATGGTAATATTCACGTTGCCATTGGACGTTTACCAAGATTGTAGAATTACCCTGAAGTGGTCAACTTGCACCTGCCTTTAGCCACCATGACCAGATAAACTCAGAATCTGACCAGCACAAAAACACCACTAATTACTTGGAATTTATTTTCAGACAAAGAAATGTATAATTGGAATGTCATTGGTAATAAGTGAATCAGGTTGTCTCAAATAATGGCCTCCAGAAGATACCAATAAACCACTGCTAAATCACATTCAAAGGCTTCTTATAAAGACTTAGGTGGTGCACCTTTACGTGCCCTGAAAAGATGTTTATTAAACAGTAAAAATTGCACGCTCACAAGATGAACATTGCGGAAATAGGGCAGGCTCTGTTCACTCTTCCAATGATCAAATGGAATTTGCCCATGATACTTTACAATGGAATCATAATATTGGTGAATTGAGAGGTGCGAACGCGGTACAATGAGCTTCCAACGCCACGCAAGTAAGAGGTCCGAGGCACTGTCACTGTTCTGAAAGGGCAATAACCATATCATGCCGCGAAAAGTGAAAACTCTTTTTCTGTATTTCATTCCCACATACCAAACCTTCCACAAAACGCCCAACCCCTGTGTCATCAGCAGTCAATGAGGCATGCACCGACAATGAGATCAATGGCTCGCCTCCCCTTAGAGGCACTGCGCCTCATTTGCTCTCACGCGCCCTGAATGCAGATCGCAATGAGAGGCAATGTCCTGAAATGAAGTTCCTGCAGGACCTGCCACTGAGTGCAGTTTGAGAGGTCTCCCACTGCCAAATGCAGGTTTTTTTCCCAAAGCCAATATTGCCTGCAGAGCACTTGTTCAGATCTCTCTGTAGCCAAATCGATATTTCAAATAATGCCAGAACTTGAACGAATGTTCAACCTTTGCAGATTCAACTGTCAGTCAATTGACATAGCATCTTATGGGGAATACAGGAGAATGAATCCAAACACCAGAACAAAACAGTTACACCTAATCTATCAAAAAAGGGCTTAATCTGAATTAAGAGAAATTAACTGCCGTACACTATTGATGACAGTGTTTAACAGCAGTGTCTGCTACCTGGCATCTATTTGCCTAAAGACATATTCCACTTCGCCGAGCTCTTGCCCAATTCAAAATAGCCGAAATGTCAAAGGGTCTGCCTGCTCCAATTCGTGTGGGGAGGTTTCCATTTCTCTCGGTGGCACTGAGCGTTTTGTAAATTCCTCACTTGCGTGGTGAGGGAGCCAGTGTTTCTGTAGGGTGAATACTGTTGCAGTCTCTTGAAGTGTTTCTCATTAATTTGACCCCAGAGTGAAGATGGCCTCTAACCAGGAATTGAATCTGAGTTGACCCCAAGCAGGAATTAAATTTTCAAACCACTGATTGTGAGAAAAGTCCTCTAACCAGTGCAACACACAGCCAGATTCCGATTGGTCATATTAATAACGAATTGCCCTTTGTCAATCAAGTGCAAAATTTGAAACTCATTTATTTGGAATAGATTTTTGTGTTTAGTTTGTTGTCCTTCCCCCGCACCTCCGATTAGCACTGTTAGCTACGTGTGGTGTGAAAACAGGTCAACATACATGCATACATAGATGGAGGCCTCACCATGCCCCGTCGGCCACGGGGGTTGTTTCACCATACTTCAAACTAATCAGCACTTGTTGGGAAGCCAGAAGCAGTTCAGATATCATCGCTCGCCACCAATGTTAGTTGTGACCAGGAAACCAACTCAGTTTATGAGAATAATCATAAATAGCTGTTCTTACTCTTTGGTTCTTTCGGTAGAGTCACGTGGGTATAAAATAAAATAAGTCACGACGTTTCGATCGCAGCTGTTCTTCTTCAATGCGCATATTAGTGTAGGAAAATATGCACAA